ATCTCTCTGACTACATAAAAGGCGCCACCCTTCCGCCTAGCCACCACACGGCTTGCTTTGCACCTGATAGTTACCACCACATCGTAAGTTGTCGATAACAGTCTTATTCAAAACTATTTGTATCTCGCACTTCCCCTTAATTCCCGTAATCGGCACTCTGTCGTGATAATGAACGTACTGTTCATGCACGAGGAGTTGCGGCTTCCGTTGACACTTGAACTATAGGTTTTTTTGACACTCGAACTATAGAAGGCCATGACCTCTTTTAACAGCACCATAAAATTGGAACTCATGGGCGACATCACAAAGTTGGAGGCTAAGTTTCACTTTGGAACCTCTACATCCCCACAAACGTACGAGGTTGAAGTTATGGGTCCATCGTCGCTGGTATCATCACGCAGCCGCAGAGGATCACTGTGGTCGTCTTTCACGGACTCGATTTCTTAGCAGTGGGTAAGAGCTTGTTTTCATAGCATAAGAATATATGGCTGAAATGCTCTTTATTACCTCCCGTTACCTCCTAGATGGTGCTCACGTTATGCTGCAAGAATGAAAATCTTCCATCATGTCCACCACCTTCGGCCAGAATATCTCGCTGGTAACAGTTCAAGAGCGTTCCATCAGATGAATCATGTTGAGCCTTTCTTCTTAGAACCTTTAAAGCCCACTTTGAGCGAATGTTTAGAATTCCTCTTTCGCTCGAATGGAGCTCCAACCTTATTCGGCCGGTGAGGAAGAAAAACATCCATTGAACAATAACTTTTCAGTGTTCCCAAGAATTGAGAGCTTCGTAGGTGCCCAACATTGAGCCCAAAAACGTTCTGCATGCGTTTAGGATGCATTTTATGAAAAAAGCAAAACGAGCGCATGAATCAAGAAGTCGAACCTTGATGTTATGCCTACCACTCCACCATCCCACGGCAGCGCCATTGTTGCAAAGCTTCTCCTTGGCTCGGCTCGGTGATCTGTTCGGTACAGCCGTGTAACACAGTGAGGCAGTGGTCGCGTAACTTTGTTACCAGAATCGTTTAGTATATTTAGAGCACAGAATTGAGATCAGCGTTTGGAACCATCTGAAGCGGCATACATCTCGTCTTGAATGGCCATTGTGAACAAGTATCCTTCAATCGTACGATGGCGTTCATTACTTTTAAGGCACGAGCGCTTACATCAGAAGCGTGCATCGAAGATCTGATGATGCAAGCAGGGAAGATCAAGTGCGACGCCATCGGTCTGACCAAGGCAACGCCCGTTGCACGCCTTTTTGAAAATGGAGAACTGTTCCTTGCAACATGCGACAACAGAGGCGCCGATGTTCTCGAAAAAAATACGTATTCACTTGGCCATGAACATGGCTCGTACGGAAGTTTGACTCGCCGAATCGGACGTCTGCGATCAATATGTGGTTCAACCACAGCTCTAACGATCTTCGCTGCCTACGCACCAACATCAAGCTACGAAGAAGAGTTGGAAGCGGATCTGGAAAGACTCTACAGAGAGGATCATACTTTCTTCAAGGTCGTCGATCCCAACGCCAAGATTGGCTACAGACGAACGGCTGAAGGAGCTCCACTTCGAAACTCACGGAATGGAATAGAATAAACAGGGTGAGAGGCTATTCGAGTCTATCATGTCGACCCACACCATCCATGGTAACTCGTAATTCCGAAGCCCTCTCATTTGCGATGGACATGGGAGTCACTGGGGGACAGCTCCATAATGGAATAGATCACATCATCGTAAATCGGAAGTTTAGCCTGGCTGAGATCGCTGTTGTTCCAAAGTTCTACACGGGATCAGGCCATCGTCTCCTCCGCGCTACTTCCGTTTTTCAGCGTGTGGAGAGAGAGAGCTGCAAAGTTCAGGAAACGAAGCGCTAAGACTGTTGTCAACTTCGCTTCGCTGGCGAGCGAACATCTTCACGATAGCGCCAGAAAAGCGGAGTCTCAAAGATGCCAAGAAACGTCTCTCCTTGAAAAGTCTCGAGCTTTTGCGCCAGCGTAGAATCTCGCGAGCTGCAGGCAATAACCAGCTAACGTCCGAACTTGCGAAGCTATACAGAGAAGCGATGAAGAAAGATTTGAAAGAGAGGCAGCAGTCTTGACTGAAGCCGAGGCTGGGGAGAGCATGCTCAAAACCCGCCGAAGCTCCGTCAATTATAGGACAAAGATGAGTTCCATCCGTCGTCTTGACGAAATGCACTTAATGCATCTCGATGAGCAATGTAGAAGGTCATCTACGACATCTACCCCATTCTCTTCTACCTGCCTACCTAGCATCTTAGGCAAGACGGATATGGCGTTCCTTCAGTTCTCCCTTTAGAAATACCACGTCACCACGTCGATGAAGTGTACGGCGCTCGGTCCCGAAAGGATCAAACCAGGACATCTTAGAGCATTCCCCCGGTCATTGTCAAAATTCTGGCCCGACTCTTCACGCTTTACCTGTCGAAATGCAAACTGCCCAGTTCATTGAAAACTAGCAAGACCTTGTTGCCATATAAGAAGGGGATCCAGACGACATTAGCAATTGTCGCCCAATTTGCCTGCTGTCTATAATCTATAAGCTTTCCACACGAAAAGGTTCAGAATTGATTACATCTACACCGTCACAAGTCTCTTTGAAGTATAGCGAGAGTACAAAAAGGCTGTTATCCCTTACGATCATCGATTTGAAGAAAGCTTTAGTGAATCGGAAACGTCTACTTGCTCCCATCCGGCTCCTTTTGCAAACTGATCTGTGGCCGCTGTTACTGTAAAGTGTAGTGCTGTAGGTAACCAGTCATTGTACAGGTCCTCCTCTCAAGATTCACACCTGTTGTCATGAGCATGCAACGTCACAACTCTCGTGTGGTTTTAAAAGATAGATTGGGCATTTTTTCTTTGAGAACTTGGAATTTCATTTCTTATATTTTCTTTTCTTGTACAGACATGTTTACTGTGCTTTCATTTCGCAGTTTTTCCATTTATTTCTACAGACAAATGCAATCAAGACGAACTGTGTTTGATTGTTGGATTGGACTTGATCTCCCTTTCTTCATTACCGTGTGACTACATCTTAACCCACCGACGACCGCGTGGCCCGCTGGCGGACCACACCATATCGTGTTCCTGTAGTGTTTATATTATTTATCAAGTGTTCTTATAATAGCAAGTTCAAGTTCAGTTCTCAAGAATCAGCTGAGCTCTCGGCCCTCTAGAGAATCTTGAGGCATTGTGGTCCAGGAATCTTTCGTTTCCAACTACAGTTAAAGAGAAACTAAAAGTTAATGTAAGGACAGCATAAAAGGCGAGGTCGCCAATGGGTTAAAAAAAGCCACGGTTCACTAAGACGCGGAGAAATTTATACTGAGGGTGAGCAGCCTGCGTTTTTACGCAGATACCATGAAAGCGTCCATTAGGAGGCAGAAAGGGAAAGAGGAAAGGGGGATGTGTCCACAGGCTACGATCTGGCAGACCACAGCATGTTCTACGCAAAAGTGGCAAGTAAGAAAACTACTGCAGCAGAGGGGAAAGGAAATCAAATATTGCTTGTAAGAAAATCGATGCTGAAAGCTTCAAAATATCGATATACTGTCTGGCGAAAATCTGGTTCGCAGCCTAAGTTTCTCCTAGCGCACGATCATCTAGCTTTCAAGAAATAGAGGTTTAGAACGGAGCGGAAGATTTTGTAGTTTAAGCTACACCGAAGCAAAAAAAATCTGACGGGGATACTGGAAACTGTCTCCCAAGTCCCCAAAACAATGCAGACACTAAGAAACGCTTTGGAGGTCATTCTATAGAGTGCAAGAACGCCGAAACAGACTCGAGGTGGATTAGGATGAAACGAGGCAACATGGTTCTAGAACGACGAATTCTAAGGAGTTGTGAAGCAGAAGAAAGATGATCACAAGAGCTGCAAAAGACGCACGTCCAGAAGCAAAGCTGCCCACAGAAGTTGCAAGAGACCGCCAAAGTTCCCGTAGCGAAGGCAAACAATACGGAAATAGACGCCTCGCATGAGAATTCGTCGATGGCCGAGAAGCGGAAAATTGTTTTCCGGTCGGTGACAATCCGGTTAATAAGAGCCATCTTGAGCGAGCTGGGGGAGATCGAGTGCACGATAAGTATACTCTTACACACAGTTTAAATTCCAACGTAACGACATCTTGCATCTACACACGATTTTTTCTTCGGAAAAGCTAGACAGGGAAGCGAAACTTATTGTTGAACAATAAGTATCTCCTGAAGCGTCGGATTCTGGTACGCAATGCTTCTGGAATGTCGTGTGAGAAAATTTACTGAGGATATTTACGCAAATCTGAAGTCATAGGACACATACAGTCATAGTCATAGAACAACACTGCTCATTATTTTAAATATGAGTACTATTCCTTTTAGGCTTCTTCCGCATCACCAACTTATATTTTCAAGTCGCATAAACTAAATGAAAATAAAGGAGAAACGGTGCCGTATGTTATAGAATACGTACGTTAAGACACGACCTGCTTTCAGCTGTGAGTGTGAAAAACTCATTAGGACGGCCGCGGCCCTTCCTGTATTTCAAAGCGCGCCGTGGTAGCCCAGGATAAATCACCTAAATATCAACTCACCAATCATATATGATTAAGGGGACCGGCAATTGGATCGGTCAGGGGCAGGCACCATTTTAGTCTTTCTACTGGGTCTTCACGCTATCAAAATGATGAAGTGTGGTTGATCGAGTGACCCTCAGTACTATTATACAAGGTGAACGTGGAAAGGAGCACCACCTAGAGTATAATCTGGATAGTTAGCCTCAAAGTGACGAAGAAATCAAACCGCGTTTCATAGATGGGAAAAATTAAAACACAAACAAGAAAAGTTTCTCTCGACGATTTCTTATGAACGGCACTGTGCCTCTTGTCATCTTTGTGATATGCTTGATTGGTCTCCAACTTAAGAAGTTGGCCTACACCAATCCAACTGCACCACTTCTGGAAAGGTAGGATTCAAACAAGTGCGCTCATAAGTCAATGCTCATTCAAATGTTAAAAGAAAGTTTTTCAAAGTTTATAACTCTAACAGAGTCCACAGTAAACGGTCAACAGAACATCGGGAGAAGAACATAAACAACATAGGGCCGTATGCATAACGCCCAGGGTGGGGAAGGGGAGATTCTCCCCAAGGAAATTTTTGCGAAGGGCGCTAACGTTCAAATGGGGTTTTTGCCTTTGATCTGGGTCAAGGTAGTTGCAATGGAGCAAAGCTTTCTCCTATAAACAGGTGAAGAATCGACACAGGAACGAAAATTCAGTCCGGCACTCGGTTCTTACAGTAATCCGGCACGTGTTAATACGCATATTTTTACCCGTCACATATACGACGCGTCGAAAAGGGGCTTTGGGCAAGGACACGGGGGTGGGTGGCGGAGTAAGCCAGGGGGTTACTGTAAGAACCGAGTGCCGCACTGAATTTTCATTTTAGTAGAATCGACAGCCCTCGAGGACCATGTGGTGTTTCCCTCCGCGACCTTACCTTAACGAGAGCTCAGAGAAGCCCGACCCCATTGACTCCCCACCCTGGGAGGGGAGGCCTCCCTACCCTGGGAGGAGGATGAACGTACCCCAAAAATTGAGCTGGGTCGCCGATGGTCTTGCACACCGCTACCTCGCTATTCGCTACATTTTCGACTGAGCGCTTTTCCTCTGGATTCTGCTGCCGAATCCTTCAAGTATTGCTCTGATTCCATCCTACTGCTGCTACCACCTACTAATTTATTTAAATTGCTGCAGTCGCTGTTGTGGAGCAGTTTAGTTTTCGAATAAGCAGGTTTTTCTTTCTAGATTTACACCAGGTATCGTGAGCATTTTGCATCACGATCCCGGTCTGATTTAAGAAGGAAACCGAAATTATTCCTGTAAGCAACTCGTAAGTTGTTTTTCGGTTGATTGGTATAATATTTCGGTACTATTCTACTATTACACCCCCAAAAAATCAAAATTCTAATTTTCGATGAAACTTCGCCTATAGAGGTAATCCGATGCCCTGATGACGAATATGATCTTTACTTTTGGCGCTGGCGCCAATTGGCGCCAATTTGGCGCCAAGGGTGTTTTCACCAAATTTGCTGAAAACTTGCGTTTAGGGGTTATTTGAGGTCCTGATAACGAATATAACATTCATTCTTGGCGATGGCTTGGCGAATGGCGCCATTTGGCTCCAAATGGCGCCAATTTGGCGCCAATTGGAGCCAAATGGAGCCAAAGCCAAAAATGAAGGTCCTATTCGTTATAAGGGCATCGGGTTACCCCTATAGGCGAAGTTTCATCGAAAATTAAAATTTTAGTTTTTTGGGGGTGTAACAGTAGAATAGTTCTGGGGCTGTAATAGTAGAATAGTACCAATATTTCATATCCTGTTACATTTTAATCTTTGTACTCCCGGCTATTCCTGTCGTCGAAGGTAGTGGCCACCGTAGTATTAAATTATTGTGTTTCAGTTTTGTCTCACAATTTTGATCCCAAATTGAGTGTTGTCTGGTGTTGCTGTAGTAGCCGTGCATCTACTGCTCGCTTTGCTACTAATTTTGTAACAAACCCTGTCTTGAAAAAGGGTGTGTGAACTTTTGCACGGAATGGCCAC